AAAAAAAAAAGTGTCCCTAAAAGTCCATATCTTTAGCAGTAACTATTTTGTGGCAATAAGATTGGATAATATCCCTTCTGAAAAAGTATTAGTATGCCTTTTTAGCATCCATTTTAATGGCTAGTAAATTCAATCAAATTACCACTAAAAGTCATCTTTAGCAGCAATTATAATGACTACAATATCCCCCATGGAAACATCTTAAATTGGCGCTAAAAGTCACAAGTTATAATGGCAATAGTTTAGCCACCATTAATAATCGCTACTACATTCGTTCAAAATAGTTCCAAATAACATAACATATTAATATTAATTCATAAAAACATAATGTATCTCATTAAATCTTAACAAACAAAAGAAAGTACTAATCCAAAATATTAATCACTAACTTAAGACAAACTTATATTGTTGGAAATAAATAGCTAATGTCATTATATATGTCTAATCCCAACGAATAATAGTCTTCAAATATTTTTTGCAACTCTTCGTCATGTTGAAATCTTTGGCCCCCTAAATTATCGATCATCATAGTGTATGACGTGAAATTATAAAATAACTATGTTAATAGATGAAATATATGAGCACAGTAGATGTACGCATAAGCAAGCAAATCTTCTTCTTCTACTTTGCACACACACTTACCACGGAAACAGTGTTGTTTCACGGCACCATCTGCAGAAAGTGAATGGTCAGACTACATTCTATCATTTCTATTGGTATTAAATCGAGCATAATTGTAGCTACGCCAGTATGCTGCTAATTTCACTTACATTGAATATCGTAAGAAGTCTGAAGTATGAATAAGACTTACCTATACATGGTTACTTTCAAATTTATCTTTGTGCCATCACTTCCTAAATCACTATTTGGTTGGTATTTTGTAATTTGTGTTTCTATTCTTTCAAGCGGAAAGGTGAGAGCAAAGCCTCCCAGTGTAAGATGGTAGGTGTAGCTGGAAAATAATTTCATGTCACGATCGCAAAGGTCAGAGAATCAGATATAGAGAGGAAAGAAGTCATCAATATGCTGAGCTAGCACTTACGTGGAATCAAATAGGTCAATACCCGCAACAACACCTTGCAAGACCTCTTCTATAAAGATAAAAAATTTAATCCATTCAGCCACAAAAAAGTATATAATTATTAATTTAAATAGCCAAAAGTTTTCACAGCAGAAGGCAAGCGGGTTAAATCTGGTAGATTTTGAAGTTATTTCTTTAGACTAGCTATATAACAAACAAGCTCCTCTTCTATTTTCAAACACTATCAATCACTATGTTGGCATGCACCGGTAAGCAAATATTTTTCTGTGAGTGCAACAGTGAATGAGTGAAAGAAGAAGACCGACTAGAGAACACAGGAAGAGATGAACAAGGAATTGTAAACATTCAAGATGTCTACCTGGTAGTCCGAGGCCACTTATAAGACGTGGTTTTTCTTCAGGTAAACTATCCTGTCATCAGTAACACCATAGGCCACCAAAAACTTGAGTCTTCCACTGTATGCAAACAAGTGAAACCATTTACAGTGTACCAAATCCAATATAGGACCATTATAAGCATAACTAACAGAAACCCATTTCTCCGAAACTAACATTAGTTAAAATAAAAAGTTAGCATGAACATCGACCTTCAAGTGAAGAGACTGAATGAAGATGAGTGGCAATTTATGGACCTGAAGGAGATCATAAAGAAAATCTTTACACAATACAGAACCACCTATAACTAGATTACATGTATATCAAATGTGGCACTTGAACCGCTTAATGCACTCTCATGACATAAGCATCAGCACCAAACTACTCCAAGAAATGCAGGACCATAGATGATCCACAACTAATATTAAGAACCCATGTTATGGAATCTTCACTTTGGCTATATGCACCCGATTCGAGAGGGATGACGTGGGTGCAGGCTATCGATATGAACCTTCAAACAAACTAAAAACCTGATAAAAGTTTGACTCATGCGGCATTTGAGTCAAACTCAGATCAGTTTACACTTTACATTACATAAGGTGCTAAGTAGTCAACAGAGCTCCTTAAAGTATAAGGGGAATAGCACCCAAAGGTTTGGTCCAAGTAGAAGAGCACGAAATATGTGGTAGGCGCATGTGAAGAGTTTGGATTATGCCAGGGAACTAAGTTTAGTATTTAAGTGGAGAATTTTAGAGGAGAGAGCCCATTATCCACTAAGTTCCGAAGCTGGAAACAACAGATTTCTTCATTTGACTCACCAAAAAATTAGTACACGGGGAATAGATCTAAAGTAAATTGCTTATCAAGACATCTTACGATCAGAATCCTATCTTTATGCCCATTAGGTAAGTTCAAAAACAGCCTATCCTTGCCTTCCACATTCGTTTCAAGAGCAGAACTTCTTTAGAAGCAAAAGTATTTCCTGCCAAAAGAAAAAGAACAACAACAACAACAACAACCCCAGTAAAATCCCACAAGTGGGGTCTAGGGAGGGTGAAGTGTACGTAGACCTTACCCCTACCTAATGAAGGTAGAGAGGTTGTTTACGAAAGACCTTCGGCTCAAAAGAAGTGAAAATGAAGCAATAAACAGACAATAGCAACAACCAGGTCCAAAAGAAAAAGAACAGAAGCCTGAAATACCATAAGAGAACCATACCATAACAACACTAAGGAGGGGGTTGCGCTCTCCATGCTTTCCCCCAGTCCAAATCCACCGATCCAAAATCCTGCATTGACCAAAAAAAATTCTAAAGATTAATATGACATTTACAAGTGACCAAACAAATAAATATATAGACATGAGTCCTTTGAATATTTAACTAAAGTAAAATTCAGTGCAACAGAATCACTTGAAAAAGATGGCAGATCAGAAAGGACCAAGATCCCCTCTCTGATAATAGTTGTACGTGTTCAATTCTGCCAAAAAGTCTTTACCGTGAAAGGAAATTCATTAGTGGGTGCAAGATATTTTCAAATATAAAGATACACATGAAACAAAAGAACTTTCTCCGACATTATTGAAGATCAGTTTAGGCATGTCTTAGAAAAAGCTTAATACTTTGGATAGTAAAAATTCTAATTGATTTTATTCGTTATTAAGAGGGTTTCACTTATAATTGCCACATACTCTAGGTGTTTTTTGACCTACACTTTGGAATTACTAATAGGATTGGATTTCAGTTACAATTACGAATACAGTGGGAATAGAAGTAAATGTCCTCTAAGAGAGAACAAACCTTCTACATTCCTCCTAGCAACTTCTTGGGCACAACTTCGGCGCACTTCAACCCTAGAGCCTGCAACAATGGATCCAAACACTGCTCCATCCTTCTACTCATCAGTAGTTACAACACTTCTTGATGAGATTATGTATAGCAATACTGCAATATACTTGGTAGGTCTAACAACACCTGAATATAATTTTTTTTTAAAGAAAAGGAAATAGGAGAAGGAACAAATAGGATGAACATATGTACCCAGTTAGCAAGATGATATGATCACATTCTATTAGTTATATATACATGACCAAGGAAACACCAAAACTACCCTCCTAAAACATATTGCAAGAAAAGTACAGTACATAATGACAATCTGGATGGATGCGCGTTGCTACATGTGACACTGCTTGCTGAACTTTAATAAATATATATGCAAATAATAATTACAAAATGAAATAGGGAATAATTATATTTGGACGACACCCCTTGACAAATGGAGTTGTTCCAATCCAGTGTCATTTCCATTCCTTGTCGTATGAAAAGTCAAGGTTTCAATTCCACATAAATGCTTCATGATATTTGTTTTTACAATTAACTAAATAAGAACCCAAAATGACACTAAACACCAACTATATCAGCAAAGATATTCTGCTGAATTCCAAGAAAACATGTGAAAAAGAAAACAAATACAATCATGGCTCTAAAGAAGCTTCATTAGTTAGGATAATAAAGTCTCAAAAATCAAGAACTCTTTTTTCTTTTCAATTGCTTAATATTATTTCCCTTAAAAAGAAAAACTACATTGATCGCTCATCTGTTCTCTAGCTTTTACATATTTCTGAGGACTCCATCTCAGACTCCACAATCCTTTTTTACCCTCAAGCCACCTATCACGTGTGATTCTCCAACAGAGGGTAGCTTTTTTTTTTAAATATGAAATAAGTATATTTTTAGATATCTGTTGGGATTAGTGTTAGTAATCTATGATTAGGGGCTTTGGAATGTAAAGATTTACTTTACAACTTTGCTTTGGAATGGAATGCGAACGTATATTTCATTCTAAAATATCATAATATGAGCCAGTTAAACAAAGATTAAGAAATATGAGTAGCATTTTATTCTAACCATGTAGTGCTTACCTTATCGGGATTTTAATTTGCAATCAGTTATGTGAGAAAAAATACACGGGAAAAACTATTATTGATATATTAACAATGATACAACAACAACAACAACAACCACCTAGTGGAATCCCACACGTGGCCTCTTAACTATAATCCCTTCACACCAATAGCCATTCTAATAGTGCAAGGATCAAAAGAGACCAACTAAGTATTCAGATGCTATATTCATAAGTTTTAGCATTACAACTTACAGCCTTGTTCAACAAAATCCTTCTATTCCGAAAGATGTGATACATCAAAGTAAACATAAATATGCGCAAGTAGCAAGTTTATCAGTAGCAATGACATCTCACTTAGATACATCAGATCTGCAACTATACAATGTGATACACAAACCTACTGCATAAAGGCAGTTGGAACTGCAGCCGCAATAGAAGTTTCAGATACTCTGACAACAGTGATAGGGGATATGCAATTTACCACCAGAAGTGAGGAAATCAGATTTCTTGTATGCAACATTGATATAAAAAGTACAAATTATGAACTCATCATACATATTGCATGTTTGAAACAGCTTCAATCATAATACCATTCTAAGAACCCCAATTTGGAATGTGAAACAATTTCAATCAATGGTGAACTTTTCCATTTAATGAAACAAGTAACTTAGCTGTTTGCCTCTATTGACAGATTTTTTGAACAACTATATCTATTTATACTTAAATTGCAACTCACATGTTTGCCTTTATTGAGAGTTTTTTGGAGTCTTAAGTGGATGGTTTAATGGAAAATAAGCTTAGATAATATTGTTTGCTTTGTGTTTTCTTTTTTTAGAGTACCATTCTGTACCCAACAGAGATAGTACTCAAACTTGCTTATGCATATATACTTTAAAAATTATCTATTCTATCTCAACTAAATTTTCAAAAAATTTAATTCTATGTATACATTGCTGTGATTTATTTCCCGCGGAAAATTCCCTAATTCATAAAATAATAGAGGAATAGCGGGGGAATCAATTCAATCAATCGACTATCAATCTAATAACAGCAAGATATCACAAACGATTTAGCAAACACAAAAAAAAACTATTCTTTTACAAATTCCAAAATGCCATAGTTGGATATCAAGAATCATAAATTGTACCTGGGTGAGCAGAATATTTGCGATAAAGACAAAAATGTGAAGGAGAAGAATAATTTTTGCAGCAATCTTGAAACCTACACGAAAAGAGAAGTTGAAGACGGGAAAAAAGTAAATTATAATACACTAATAATAAAGCATAAATTGGTAAATTCGTATGAGGGAAGTAACTTGAGCAACATTGAATAGTTGCAATTATTGTGCAAAAAACGAAGACAAAAGATAGGCAGGCAGTCACGGAATACTCGAAGAGCGCCGAAATTTTCTGGATCAATTACACCTTTCACCGTAACTTGCCTGCAGCCACCATATGTAGTGTTTCTCATTATAAAAGTTAAACCACTAATGTATGAAATTTGGGAAGAGAGAGGGAAAAAATCCTTGAAGAGCAGTTGGCGATTGATTTTTTGGTTAAAAAAATTATTGTAAATTGATTTCTAGCAACCTGCTGGGTAAGGAAGGAATTTACCTGAAGAAGAAGAGAAAGTTACCAGGGATTTGGGAAGAAGATAGGCGGAGCTGTGGCAGGCCGGAGACTGTGGCAAGCCGAGTCCAGTGATAGGTTTCCGTACAACAACAACAACAGCAACAACAACAACAACAACAAACAAAGTGTAATTGCAGAAGTGGGGTCTGGGGAGGATAATATGTACGCAGACCTTAGCTCAACAAGAGGCACTATATTAGTACTATCAATATATTCATAATAAAACAACATAAAATACCATAAAAACCATAATATAACATAAATACCATAAAAAATAAAGTAACAACAATATAAGAGATATAGGAAATACGAGAAAGATGTAAGGTATTAATACACAAAAGATAAAGCACATCATCAATAGTTGATCAATAGCATTCTAAGACTAATTTCTAACTGGCTAGTCTCACTCTAGTGCGCTGTAAAAAAGACATCACAATTTCCCCTAACCTACAACCTTAATGCTCGATCTCCACAATTTCCAGTGATAGGTTTTCGTAATGTTTTCTTTTTCTTATTTTGGTAGAATCGTATTATTTTCTTATTGGAGGGAATAGTTAATTCACGTCCAAAAATATTGGAGGGAAAGATTTTATTTTACTTGTACGGGAAAGTTAAAATAATAAAAAAATGATTTCAATAAGTGATTTTTTGTGGTAATTTTATTTTTATTGCCACTAAAGAATATCTTTTATTGGCTAATGGTCATGTGCCGCTAATATTTCAGCTTACAAAATCTAGTAGCGGCAACTACCTTATTGCCGCAAAATAATTGCCGCTAAAGTCCACTTTTGTATCAAGCCCTTCACTAAGACGGAGTCATACTTTGCAGATGCAAAATTCTACCTAGATTCTTATGAACCGAGTGTGGAGAAACCATCCTCAGACGATGAAGCTGATGTCAAGTCAAAAGAAGAAAATGAGGCTCAATGGACTACCACCAAGCTGCCTAAGAAGAGAACAAAAGAAGTCTCCATTAAGTTATCATCATCTGAAGGTGATATACATACAAAGACTGAGGAGCATCTGGTTCTTCGCTATGTTCCATATGAGCGTCGAAAGAAAAGGGCAACCTTTGCTACAGGAATGTACTCCAACGAAGCAAATGAGTCACAAAGATATCTAACATTTGAAGGAGCATATGGCTGTCCCAGTTGCACAAATCCAATCCGTGACTTGTGAGTCTTTTAAAAGCAATCTCCAAGCTGATAAAATAAAAGAGCACTATGATCCTAAGGCCTTCATATTGCTTGAAAAGTTTGGTTATGACTTCTCCAATCCATCACGACTAGGAGAACTCAAAGACGAAGTCACTGGTGAAATGATACATGGGCACAATGAGTCCCAAATGAAGTTGAGAAAGCAAGGGCACTACGTCGCCATTCCAAAGTTTGGGTTGGGGTTCAGTTTGGCAGAGCCTTTTCGAATTTCATCTAAGAGAAGCAAAGAGATAGCTTCATCACAATACACCTCGGTAAAGGAGATAAAGGAAGTTAAGGGCAAGAAAATAAAACAACGGGCTTCAGTGTTTGATTGCATTGGAGGCTTAACCCCTCCGGTCTCGGTGTTTGAAAGGCTAAGTCACAAAGGTGAACGTGTATCTTCCAAATATCTAAAAGAAGTTTCCACTACCTCAAAGACCTCTGTCTTTTGTCGCCTAGGGACCACAAGTAAGTCACCATCTAGAAAAATACTGTCAAAACATAAGGAGCAAGTCCATGAGGAGCGAGATCATTTTGAAGTTGTTGCTAACAAAAAAAACTGTAGTGCTTTCCCATCACGTATGAAGGTGCAAAGGAGAACCATTGTTTATACTTGCCAGCCTCGTAAAGACGCAAAGAAAGATAAAGAAGCCATGCCGACCATCCAAGGAAGTCAAAGAGAAAAGTCAGACTTTGTGGAACCATCCTATCACATAACTGTAGAAGATAGCCCATGCCTTAACGTTGATGATGAAGTACATGAGGCTCCCCCTCAACTAGAACATGGCGGGCAATCAACTGTGGATGATCTTAAGGAACTCAATTTAGGTACTCTGAAAAATCCACGCCTCACCTTCATTAGTGCGCTTCTTACGCCTCAGGAGGAGGAGGAATACTCCAAGTTGTTGACTGAGTACAAAGATGTCTTCGCTTGGTCGTATAAAGAAATGCATGGTCTTAGTCCTAAGGTAGTTGTTCATCATTTAGGGATAAAAAGTGGAGCATGCCCTATGAAGCAGTCACAACACATGTATCGACCCGATCTTGTATCACAAATTGAAGTCAAAGTCAACAAGCTCATCGATGCGAGATTTATTCGAGAGGTGAAGTACCCATCATGGATATCGAATATTGTACCTGTCAAGAAGAAGAATGGTCAAATACGTATTTGTGTTGACTTTCGAGACCTAAACAAGGCATGTCCAAAAGATGACTTCCCGCTACCTATTATTGAACTCATGGTTGATTCTACGACATGGCATGAAGCTATGTCATTCATGGATGGGTCCTCCGAATACAATCAAATCAGAATGTCTCCAAAAGATGAAGAGCGTACTGCTTTCCGAACTCCAAAAGGGATATATTACTACAAAGTGATGTGCTCCGGCCTAAAGAATGTTGGTGCCACCTACAAATGCGCGATGCAAAACATCTGTGACGACATGCTTCATAAGAGGGTTGAATGCTACATTGATGACTTTGTGGTGAAGACGAAGAGTAGGAGTTACTACCTTGAAGACCTTCGAATTGTTTTTGAAAGGTTAAGAAAATTCGACCTGAAGATGAATCCACTCAAATGTGCATTTGGAGTTACCTCAGGAAAGTTTCTTGGCTTCATTGTGCGTCATCGTAGAATTGAGGTTGATCATGTAAAGATTGACGCCATTCGGAAAATGCCCAAGCCAAAGAACTTGAGAGAGCGTCTAACTCTGCATTCATCCCGAGGTTCATCTCTAATCTAGCCGGACGGTGTCAACTATTCAATCATCTATTGAGGAAGGATATCCCTTTTTATTGGGATCAGTCATGTCAAAATGCTTTTGAAAGCATCAAAAAATACTTGCTGAATCCACCTGTGTTAGGGGCGCTATTTTATTATTTTCAAGCCCAAGGTCCATTTCATCTTAAGGCCCAGACTCATGCCATGTTAAATATATCTAGTCAAACTGCAAGACAAAAAGATGATGTCACGTGTTAAATGATGTGGCAATCCAAGTCAAAAGGCAAGAACCAATCACATGTCGCCAAGTGGCTAAAATGACATGAGCCAATCAAATCAAGCAAGAGAATCCATATGTAGCTGGACTGTCCATCCTCTACAACTATAAATAGAGGGGTTACATAACTCTCAGAAGAGATTCAGAGTTGGAGAAGAGCATTCCACAATTGGTGAAGGAATCCACAAACAGACAGATCAATCATAAATTGCATAGTTCTTCAACAAAGGAGTGATCAACGGAGTTTTTTCCGGAGATCAACCCGAAACAACAAAGTGCTACTCAACGTTCTTGGCAATTAAATACATCACAAGGAGATCTGCATCGTCCTACATTCGAGAAAGACGCTTCTCAAGCCCTCGAGTCACGGAGAATTTTAGAAAGGAGAATCAAGAGATACATAGAATCATACTCACAAATATTTATCAATAATATTTCTTTTTCTTCATATTATTTTTATTACAGTTTATTTTCCATACAACAAAAATTTGTTGCGAACACGTTGAAAGAGCAATGACTTAGTTATTATGATTTTACTACTTATTCTTTTTTCTAGGTGTAGAATAAGCAAAGTAAAGAGTTGTGAACTTTATAGATACTCTCGTTGACCATAGATTTTGACTATATTTTAATATAAAAAATAAAATATTATTTGTTCATAAAATATAGTCTTTGAAAAAATTTTAATTTTTTTTTCTTCAAGTTCCCAAAAACTACCAGTTTTTTTTGTGAAAGTTTTTCTTCCACTTAAAAAACTTCAATTTTTTCCAAATAAAATGCATGTCCAAACACAACTTCAACTTCTAAAGGTTATTTTTCAACATAATTTCAAAAATTCTTTTTTCAAGTTTCAACCAAATCTAGCTAAAAGTACGTCTGAAATAACTGATAAGATAACTTATCATATATCTTACAATATTGAACAGTATTTTTTGTTTTATAAAAGGTTGCACCATTTCCCAATGGCCTTAAGAAGAATTATGGAACTTTAATTTGAGATGGAAAGATTTATTTGTGTGGAAAAGAATTACAGTATATTGGTTATATTCTTGAACCTTAAGGAGGTGAGTAGTATTCTGAATTTTCTGTAAAAAACTTAAGAATTTGGAGTCAAGCTAAATCTTATGGAGTAGAAAAAACAACAGAATGACTCTAGTAAGAGCGTGATAATAGATTTGCTTAGACATAAACGAGGACACACAAGTAAGTTCCTTTGCCCCAAGATGTCATTGCATTAACTTTTTTCCTTTTGATAACCAACAATAATACACTTTTTTACGGTTTTGAAACTGGAGGGATAATGCGTCCATCCCTCTAAGCTTTTCCACTTGAATGCTATACTTGATCCAAAGCAAGATTCCAACTCGTGACGTGCACCCACGACACATTTGAATTGTAAAACTTTTACCTTTGAATGAAAGCCTTGGGGGCATCTTGCTTTATTGTATACGGATAAAACCAAGTACATTGTATGATCTTTTAGTTTGATACATCATAGCTGTTGTAAATGGTCCTAACTCTAACACAAGGCTTTGGAGAAAAGTGATTTTCTCATTCATGTAAATTTTGTAAATTTGAAAAGAGTAGAATCCAATAACTTCATTAGTCCTTTCCATCATTGAGCTTGTCATCGTTATCTTGGCCGAAGCTTCTTTATATCAAGATTCAGTCTTTTCTATTCTTGCGTATATCAAAGTTTTGGCGTACCAGATGCTCATGTCTTCATTTTCTAAAACTAGCTGGGACTGTCTCTTCTGTAAAATACTCCTCTCTGACATCCTTCGCTGAACAAAATCTCACCTTTCAAATTACACATACAGAGTGTAAGATGATAACATATCAAAAGCAGCTGAGAGAACTAAATTTATTCTGCCTAGACATGATGAAGATTATGTAACCAGATTTTGAGATGGTCATTTCTTATGTTGTCCAATTTATTAGTGGCAAAG